TGTGTGGGGAGCTCTGGGGTGGAATAGGGGTACAGGTCAGGGTGGGGATGCACTGGTCTGTCTGTGTGGAGAGCTCTGCAGTGGAATAGCAGGGGGTGCATGTCAGGGCGGGGGTGCACTGGTCTGTCTGTGTGGGGAGCTTTGGGGTGGAATAGGGGTTGCAGGTCAGGGGGGGATGCACTGGTCTGTGTGGAGAGCTCGGGTGGAATAGCAGGGGGTACAGATCAGGGTGGGGATGCACTGGTCTGTGTTGGGAGCTCTGGGGTGGAATAGCGGGGGGTGCAGGTCAGGATGGGGGTGCACTGGTCTGTCTGTGCTGGGAGCTCTGGGGTGGAATAGCAGAGGGTTCCCATACAGTTCAGGGCTGGATGCTCTCGCAGGTCTGCTTATGTGAGGTGTTTGCAGTGTCAACTATATGAGATCAGCAAAAAGAACAGGAGTACTTGTGGCACCTTAGAGACTAACAAATTTATAAATTTGTTAGTCTCTAAGGTGCCACAAGTACTCCTGTTCTTTTTGCGGATACAGACTAACACGGCTGCTACTCTGAAACCTGTCATTGTATGAGATCAGGTGACTCCTCCCAAGAATTATTCTGGCAGGTCATTCATGCACTTGCCCGCTAAGCCGTGTCACTCATGCTCCTTTGCAAGCTGTAGAAGCAGCAGATACAGGGCTAGGTTTAGACGTGGCAAAATTCAGGCGGTTCACAAACTGGAAAGGGCTCAGAAAAGAGCTACACAAACAATTTGAGGTCTGGGGAATCTGCTTTATAGCGAGCGATTTGAGAAACCCTTTATTTAGTTCAGCGAAAGATGGTGAAGGGCGATGTGATCCTGTGTTATAGGGACTGGTGAATTAATCTCCTGGATGAAGAGAGTTAAAGCTGTTAAACTCTTTCACTGTCCAACATTCAATGTTGTTAAACAAGGTTTGGGGTTTGGCATACAGGGGCCTGAGCCTACTTCGTGCCATGGCAAACACACCATTAAACACCCTCTGAACCTTTCATGTAACGAAAAGGAGGAGGAACAGGTAAAGCCTTTGAAAAGCATTAAATAAGGGTTGTGTTGTAACAACGTCCCTTGTTCCCTTTAGAGAGAAGGAAAAGCCCCATGTTTGACAATCTCTTAGAAGGTATCAAAGATGGTAATAAGTGTCCTGCTGGGGAGAAGAGAAGCAGTTAGCTGCAATGGTCTGGAGCTGTTGTTGTTACAGTCTGATCCTGTCATCCCGGGTGGTGGTTGGGATTCAGCTGGAGCCGGTAGGGTGGCGATTTCGTCTGGGCCCCTCTCTCTGGCCCGTCCGGGCAGGACATCGCTTAGGATCAGGCTGACAATGGCCGAGGGTCCCAGGTGATGATGGGGCGGGGGCAGCTATGGCGGTGAAGCTCACTCCAGTAGCCTCTGTCTGTTCTTCGCTATTTTCCCTCCAGAGTCTTTCTTTAAGGACCCAGACAGGGAGGGAATGGTGGGTGGACTAGCCCTTGCCCCACTACTTAGGCCTAGTTTCTGATGCACCGATTTTGGTTCTTTAAGTTCCGGTTCCACATCTTCTGTTTGTACCAAGCATGATTTCAACACTATCCTTGAAGTATATTAGTAATAGGGCTGTCGATTAATCGTAGTTAACTCACGTGATTAACTCAAAAACATTAATCACAATTAAAAAAATTAATCGCGATTAATTGCACTGTTAAACAATAGAATGCCAATTGAAATTTATTAAATATTTTGGATTTTTTTTAATATATTGATTTCTATTACAAGACAGAATACAAAGTGTACAGTGCTCACTTTATATTTTTTATTACAAATATCTGCATTATAAGAATGATAAACAAAATCATAGAAACATAGAATATCAGGGTTGGAAGGGACCTCAGGAGGTCATCTAGTCCCACCCCCTGCTCAAAGCAGGACCAATTCCCAACTAAATCATCCCAGCAAGGGCTTTGTCAAGCCTGACCTTAAAAACCTCTAAGGATGGAGATTCCACCACCTCCCTAGGTAACCCATTCCAGGGCTTCACCACCCTCCTAGTGAAATAGTGTTTCCTAATATCCAACCTAGATCTCCCCCACTGCAACTTGAGACCATTGCTCCTTGTTCTGTCATCTGCCACCACTGAGAACAGTCTAGAGCCATCCTCTTTGGAACCCACCTTCAGGTAGTTGAAAGCAGCTATCAAATCCCCCCTCACTCTTCTCTTCTACAGACTAAACAATCCCAGTTCCCTCAGCCTCTCCTCATAAATCATGTGCTCCAGCCCCCTAATCATTTTTGTTGCCCTCTCCTGGACTCTTTCCAATTTTTCCACATCCTTCTTGTAGTGTTGGGTCCAAAACTGGACACAGTACTCCAGATGAGGCCTCACCAATGTGAAATAGAGGGGAATGATCACGTCCCTCGATCTGCTGGCAATGCCCCATCTCATACAGCCCAAAATGCTGTTAGCTTCCTTGGCAACAGGGCACACTGTTGACTCATATCCAGCTTCTCGTCCACTGTAACCCCTAGGTCCTTCTCTGCAGAACTGCTGCCTAGCCACTCGGTCTCCATTCAATTTATAGACTCATAGACTTTAAGGCCAGAAGGGACCATTATGATCATCTAGTCTGACCTCCTGCATAACGCAGGCCACAGAATCTCACCCACCCACTCCT